GAACCAGAATCTATCAACACATAGGCATTTTGATCTCAGATTAAGATTATACCTGACACCACTGATTTAGAATTTTGTACATCGCCAAGAACAAGTGCGAAAACTCTACCTTGTCTCAAAGGTTCTCTCCTCTCATTGGTTCTTACATTTGTTCTTGATCCAGAAACAGATCTTGCTGAACTTGCTACAGGACGGTTGGCATTTTCTAACCCAATTGGACAATCTCTTATCATGTGACCTATCTTTCCACACCGGAAGCAAGCACTAGATACCCGATGGCAAATCCCTCTATGTCTTCTTTCGCATTCAGCACAAACAGGTGCGAATCTACTACTTTGACTTGAACTGCTAGTAGATCCCGTAGTTTGCTTTTTATTCGTAGCAAATGAACGGCCCTTTTTAAAACTGAATCCAGATCTTTTACCTCTCCATTCAATTGTTGAAGCTTTAGTTTGTTTCTTTGCAGCTAAGTTGGCTTCAACTATGAGAGCTATATCAAGTACATCCACATATGTGGGCAGCTTTAAGACACCTATCCGATCAAATACGTCTAAATGCAATCCTCCTTCAAATTTTCGATCCTTCTTATAGTCTGTATCCACCATGTGAGGAGCAAATCGGGCTCATTCAATGAATTTAGCCTCATACTCAGCTACAGACATGTTGCCTTGCTTGAGCTCTTAGAATTCAAAAACTTTTCGGTCTCGAAAGCTTTGAGGAAATTACTTGTCGTAGAAGATATTGTTGAATTGAACCCATGTCATGTTCCCATTGTTATTTCAGATTAGCAACCACTATCTTCGGGCTTCATTTTTTAAAGTATAGGTGGCCAAAAGAACCTTTTTGAGTCTCGGAGTAGAGAAATACTTCAACTCATTTCTCCATTTCAAGTAACCATGTCTCTGCCTTTAATGGTTCAATACCACCCAAGAAAGTTGGCGGTTTTATTTTCATGAACTTCTAAGTTAGGTTGATGATATCATTGTTATCCGGTTCAACTTGCGCTGGCGGAGACGGAGGGGGCAAAGGTTATTTCCTCAAAGATTCTGTTAATGCTTTAAGCATTTGTTCCATTCAACTCATTCGAGCTTTGGAAGATTCACTTGTATCATTACTTCTTACATTTTCCATGTTGCTATAGGTAAACAAGGCAATAATAAACATAGGAATAATCTTGTTCACAGTGTTCGAAGTAAGTTCATCTCTTTCAATTTCATGTGTTCATATTCAGATTCAGTTCTCGCATTTACAAAAAGTAGCACACACTCACACATGCAGATGAAATGCCACTACTTATTTTCTAGGACATCTTGTAGCTCATATGGAATCATGTGTGCGGTATAATACGTGCTCTGATACCACTTTGTTACGACCCAAACTTGCCCTTATAGGTTTAGCATCGTAACCGGCCAATAATCCTAAGATTACCAAAGGCCTCTGAATGGATTATCATGTAATACGAGGCTGCGGAAGCAAATATATAAAATATACATAGTCCATTGAACTGTGCAAACATACATGGGATAGATAGTTTAAAACTTTATATACAGACATGTGACGTCAGAATTACATTAGTAGTATGTCACCCTCATAAACAGATTAAACAAAAGCGAGACTTAGCCCAATGTATAGATACACAGAAACTTGTTCATATTCCAAAAAGAAAAACAAAGTCATAAACTTGGTTCACAAAACTGGACCACTTGACTCATTCTAGAACCTCCTAGGGAGGCACAAAGGTTGGCTGACAAAACAGAAGTCCAGGCGATCATCACTGAGCCTGGTCACGCGCCTGATCACCTACATACATAAATAATAGAATGAGCTGGAGACCAGTGAATAATAATAGAGTAAAGGATTTAATGAATGTTGTCCTTAACAAATACAGAAAACAGAATTCAGTTCATGTCAGAAGTGGATGGATTCATATTCTTGTTCAGAAATTAGAGTTTATAATAGAAACAGAGTCAGAATCACACTCATAATTAGAACTAATAGTTAATCATACGTGGTATATCTATTAGTACTAGCAGAAGCAGTTGACCTATAAAGGGACGACTATAAAGGCATACAGTCAACTCACGTGCACGGAGGCGGTACAGTTGACTCATGAGATGTATAGTTGGCCCATAAATGGGACATATACAGAAGGATCAATAACAGTTGTGTCATGACCCAAACCCGCCCTTATAGGTTTAGCATCGTAACCGGCTAGTAATCATGGGATTACCGAAGGCCTCTGAGACAGATTAACATAATATTACGGGCTAGCAGAAGCAAATAACAAATATATAATGTCCATTGAGCTATGCAGACTTATATGAGACAGAAAAATTTTAAAACTTTTTATATACATATCTGCACATCATCATATATATACAGATTAGTCAAAAAAGAACTTATCCCTATTTACAAAATAAACAAAGACTTGTTTAACCAAACAAGAAAACAAAAATTAAACTTTAATCACATAGCCAAAAACCATTTGACATATCTGAAACCTCCACTGGAGGCATATAGGTAGGTTGACCAAAACAGATTCCAAGTAGACACCTCTAAGCCTGGTCACGCGCCTGATCACCTACATACATAAATAGTATAGTGAGCTAGAGCCTAGTGAATAACAACAGAGTAAAAGGGTTTAAATGAATGATGTCCCATATCAGATTTGGGAATCAGATTCATATTTATTTCAGAAACAGAAGCAGATCCATATTCATATTCTTATTCAAATCATATACAGAAATCACAGTTCATGCTTAATCATACGTGGTACATCCATTAGCACTAACAGAACATATACAGAACATAACAGATTGTGGTTATGAGTAACTAGTTCCATAAAGGAACCTCTAAATTCGGGTAACAGATAATAGACATGTTGAGCTCCCTGATGGAGCCTTCGGTATGGGTAACCACAATGGAACCTCCGATACTGGGTAACAACTAACATATATGCTAAGGATGCCACGAATACTTGTTAGAAATTGGACAATCATTCATTATACAGAACATAATATTTCAGAAAACAGATCTTATTTCATCATACAGAAAATAAATAAAGTCGAACATAACTTTACTAAGTTATTACTCACAGATAGCTACAGAAGCAGATCAGACAGATTAGATAGATCAGACGGATCAGGTGGACAATAGCGCATGACCTATACAAACACATAATATATACATATTGAAACACAATATTACTTTCTTGATCAAACTTTACTTTTCTTGTCTTTTTCTGTCTAAGTAGTCCAAAATTCTACTACGCTTATTATTTCTTATTCAAATGAACTGGGTTCTTATTTCACATATTCTTTCATTACCAAATCCCTCTTTTCCAAATAAACCGATTTCTTTCTTGGCTTTTTAATCAATTATTACTAAATCAGTGATTTATTCCTTAACCAATTAATTTATGTTGATTATTGGTTTATTAATCTTGTTGAGGCCTAATTCTTGCCTAAGAATGTTTGGAAAGAGATGAGACGAAAATATGAACTAAATGTCATTTTTCCAAAATATACTAAAAAAGAGTTGTTCGCTCGAGCGAACTTCTTATCACTCAAATGGGCTGTAAAGACTGCAAAAGTATTGGAAGCTTTCAATGTGCGCTTGAGCGATAATTATACCGCTCGAGTGGTCTGTAAAATTTCATAATTCCGAATTTCTCAAAAAGGGCTTCCAACGCATTTTTAATCTTTAAATCCATATATATCTTGATCAAAACCATGAAAATACCTTAGAAAACATAAATACTTATTTATTTATAAATTATTTGCTCAAAATTTCAAACCTTTACTTAATTTCAAAATCGAAACCCATGAATTCATGGTTTCTAAAATTCTTCTTCAAAATCTGATGCACAATAAGATTGCATGTAATTCATGGAGGTTAATTTAATTATAACTTTCAAAATCAAACCCAAAATAATTAATTTCTAATTTAACTCTCATAAACTTGATCTTAGTACCAATTCATCATTTTCTTGTCAATTTCTTTTCAATCATATAAAATTAATTTCAACCACTTTTTCATTTTCCTTCAAAACATGAAATTAAAGTTATATATTTCTTAGAAAATATTTGCATGTGTGAAATTAGGATCCAAATCATACCATTTACATCAAAACTTCTTTAATATAAAAATTAAGCTCATTCTTCATAAACCCATACTTTTTAACCCAAAACTTAATTACAGATGTTTCAAAATATGTTTAATTTAAATAAAACTTTTTAAATTAAATTACATGCATGGATTCAAAATCAAAATTAAACCAATTTCTATCTTTCATAATAAAATCCAAACCTTGTCTAACTTTAGAAATAACCCCAAATTTCCATAAACTTGATTTTCATAAAACATTTCCTTTTTCTCTTCAAAATATGAACTTGAATGGCTCAATTTCTTTAAAATCCATGATGCATGTAAATATAGACTCAAATACTCATAGAATTCCCTCATGCATGTAACAATGGAACTTAATTTCATGCAAGATTATACAAATCAAACTCTCAAATTTCGTGAACTCATGATTTTCAAAACTTTTCTTCAAAGTCATTTATATACTCCATTGCATGGACCACACTACAAGAAATCAGGGCAAATAACACGTGCCGTCGCAAAAAATGGTTTTTTGCAACGCAGTGTAGTTGCCGTCGCAAAAAAGTCTTTTGCGACGGCGTGTATCTGCCGTCGAAAAAAATGATCTTTTGCGATGGCATTGACCTCTGTCGCTAATGATTGTAAAAGAAAAATGCAGAAACATTTGTGACACCTGGTATATCGTCGCAAAAAATATTATTTTGCGACGGTAAGAAATTACTGTCACAAAAAGTGGACCATTTGTGACGGCAAAATCCCATCGCAAACAAATATTGGTAAAACGGCGTCGTTTTGATTGTTGATATGTATCATTTGCGACAGTTGAAATATGCCGTCGCAAAAAATAAATATTTGGTGCCCCGCTCATTTGTATCCCATTCGCGGTCAAGTGTGCCCCAAAATCCTCAAAATCAAAATCCTCAAAATCTGAAACCAAAATCCCTAAAATTTTGAAACCAAAATCCTCAAAATCCCTGTTCACATTCAGCATTGCCGGAGTGAACGAGGGTGAACGATGGCCTTCGCCAGAGTGACGAGCAGTAGCGAGTTTCGTGCTCCAGATCTCACTCCACTCTCAACTCTCTCCTTCTTCCATTTCCTCCTCCAGATAAAAAAAAGGAAAAAAAAAACGAAAAAGAAAACACAGAAGAAGAGAAGAAAAAGAGAAAGAGATCTTGAAGATTTATTTATACTAGCAAAAAAATGCTAAATTGAAGGCGGAGTAGTTGATGTCAATCATCCATTTTCCATTATCCTCCAATGTAAACTCTCTCTCTCTCTCTCTCTCTCTACTTTTTTCCACCATCACCACCACCTCTACTGGATCTGGTATCTCTCTGCTCTCTCTCACACACAACTTTCACCACACCCCTGATTTTGTTTATCATTAATCTCCCTGTATCATCTGTTTACAATTTCATGTTTACTTGGAAATGTTGTTTGCAATTAATCCTTTGTAATTTGTAGCTGCCAGTTGCTCCGATCTGTATATGTGTTTTTTTTTTCCTTTTCTTTTTCTTTTTCTTTCTAATAACTAGAAAAAGGTTATGTTGAGATGTTTTTGAGTTTTTGATCTGAAGATTCAGGCACCCTTTTTTAATTTAATTTTTTTTTTTTGGGTATTTGCTACTACAGTGTAATTGATGAAAAAACACTGGATGAGAGAGGGGCTCTAAATATATACAATACAAGTGTGATAACCATGTTCCGTACTATGCTAATTGGTCCTTATTATGAATATGATTATGTGTTTGATATGTTTATGTGTGCTATCTATGTGAAAATGTGTGGTTTTGAATTTCTATCTGTTCACCGTAGGAATATCTGTTTGATTATCTGCTTTGGAATTTAAATTGAAGGCCTTATCGGCCACAGAAACCCGAAATTGACTGTGTCATTATGATTGGCGTAATTTTTAGAGCCTACGGTGAAAATTGATTGAAAAATTATTCGGATCAAATTAAATATATTAATTAATGGGTTAGTGCTCAATTATTTGATTATTAAGAAAATGTGATTAGAGGGGTTTATAAAAAGGAGCTTTGTATTGCTTATTTACCTATTTTTGAGCTCAAGCCAAAAATTTCTCTAAGGAAGAGAGTAAGGGTCAGCTCTAGAGAGGGAGAAATAAGGAGGATTGTGTGTTTGCCTCAAATTTGTGAAATTGGAAGGTTGGACTCAAGATTCAACTAGAATTTGTAAAGATCAAGGCTCCTAGGTGAGTAATCCACCCTCAACTCATGAATTAAGTTGGTTTTGTTGAATTGGAAGTCAACATGCACATGCATGGGAGAAATTGCTTTGGATTTGCATGTTTGAGCTTGAAATACATGATCCATGTTAAATCTTTGATTGAAGTTCATGTTTTTAACTACCTCTTCATCATTTAAGTTGAGAATGAGGGTTATATCTCACATGCATGTACAATTCATAAGGGTGTAAGCTTTGAATGCATGAGTTTGTTATGTTGGGTATAAGTCTGGTTTAAATTGGGACATGCATGTGATTAATTTGTGAAATTCAGCTTCATAATGTAATGAATTAGGTGTTGGATCATGTTAGTACAAGTATATATGAAGTTTTAGTCATAAAATGCAGGATATGATGATTTGAATGTTGAATTTGAGCTCAAGAACACTGCTGGAAAACCCATAAATTTTGATGTCCGCTCGAGCGGGGGAATCGCCCCTTGAGCGGGAAAAACGGGTTCCCAGCATTTTTGCAGACATGGTGTCCGCTCGAGCAGGGGAATTTCACACTCGAGCGGGGAGCCATGTAGTGAGGCTTTCCGCTCGAGCACCAGAATTTGAGAACGAGCGTAAATATGACATAACTAGTACTTTTGCAAGCCTAATGGGTCCACTCGAGCGGGGAAGTCCATGCTCGAGCGGGGACCCTATTTTCTGAAATTTTGAAAGTGCATTCTGTGTTTCGTTTTCCGTTCTCTTTCACTTCTAAGTACTCTTAGGCATGCATTAAGCATTTTAAATGAATTAAAGGGATAAGAATAAAGCTTAAAGAGGAATATGTGAATTAAAGAACGAATTTGATCATTTGTGACCCGTATGTGTTATGTGATGTGTAGGGTCAAGCTCCAAGGCAAATCATCCAGCCGATCACTGTGAGTAATATCGTGACAAAGATACTAAAAATAACAAAAGTACAAAAATACTTCTAAACAAAATATGACATATGAAAATATCCAAGAGAATCTTTTTCACACGCTCTGCTAAGTAATTTTTGGTAATCTGATAACTGCAAGGTCTGAGGTTCTACTTTTGGCAACAAGATGGTAAATTGTTCATACTGTTATTTTTTATCCATTTTCCTATTCATGTTTTTATCGGAAGGCATATTTGTTTTTGTATTTTCTAACACTTGACAGATTAGTGCATTGAATTTCATCTATTAGTCAAATTAATTCATATGGAATGAACTTTGGTGGGATTGTTGCAATGAAATTGTAACAATGAAGTTGTGCTTCTACATAAGCCCTGTTTGGTAGGGCTTATTTCCAGCTTATTCCAGCTTTTAGCTTAATTTAAGCTATTTTGATGTGTTTGGTTCAGCTTAATAATACAGCTTATAGCTTTTTGTAAGTCAAAAATCAACTTATTTTTTGAGTGGGGGAGGAGAAGCTTAATTTATAAGTCAAAAATTAGCTTATGTTCACAGTTATTAGCTATAAGCTGTTAGGCTATAAGTTATAATCACTTTTTCACAGCTCTACCAAACGGGGCCATGGATAGGTTTCAAATTAACAATCATGTACTACTGCATAAATTAGTAACTTGGTGGCATGTCTGAAAATATGTCTCTTTGTATGTCTTGTGGGGTTATGGGAACATAACCTTTTAAAGCAAATTTAGTGTCCTTGGGATAGCAATAGTGCAATTTCAATGAAACCTTTTCTTTGATCTCTTTATCTTTTACTTGTGGTCTTTTGTTTCCCCATACTTCTAAATTTTATCATTGCTTTTGTAGATGAAGAAATCAATAATTGCACATTTTCCTACATTTGATCACTGGAGAACATATATTTTGAGTTAGGTCCGTATGTTTCATCTCTATTCTTGGATCAAGTTTTTAAATTCAGTCAAATGGAAAGATGCAGGAAAGAAAACAAAGAAACAAATCAACAAGAAAATGTAAAGAAGGATAGTGAAGAAAATGTGGAGTGCTAGGAGAAACAAACTATTTCAAACCATCTAGATACTTGAGATAGATATTTTAATTAATTTGTCGGCGTTCATTTGACTAATACTAGATATGATCTAGTGTGTCTCAGGATGGTATACTGCATATCGGACCAAGTCTCAGAGCTGAAAATGATCTTGTCTACCTCATCCAACTCAAGTTGAACTTCTGGATTCAATGCTAGAGATGATCGGATTGATACATTGTCCGTTTCCTCTGATACTACCTCCACCGACTCTGATTTTACCTTTCCAGCTCCTACTTCAACTCCAGCAAACTTTTCTTCCCTCCATCCCCATGCTTTCCAGTTGATAGTTCAGGATCTTTCAGCGGCTAAAGTCTCAGGTCAGTCTAGTTGTCTTAGCGTCTCATGTTTGGACTAGAAATTGTGTTTTTAGTTGATACCAAAAACATAATCCATCAGCTTGTTGTCTACTTGGTATAATACAAGTGAAAATACAATAATTCCTTAAGGAATTCTCACTACCAAAAATGAGAAAATTAATTCAGCCACTCATTCTATTTTAGTGTTGATCTTTACCCATCACTTCATAGATAATATTAGCTATGTTTCAAAGTTGGATGTCGGTTTTGTTTCAACAGGACATGTTGAAAGTAACTATATTCTGTATATCTTTTTCTCTTGATGTTGCATTGTGCAGGAGCTGAAAACTGGGGAAGTGATCGGGAGAGGGCATTCAATGACTTCTTCTGATGGACCTTGCTCTTCCAATTTGTTGTACCGATGTTCCTGCTAGCTAGTTGTTAGTTTAATTAAATGTGGGCGCTTTGGCCATATACTGTAGGTACCTCACATCAATAGATTGTTACTTGTGCTTTATACAAAATGAGATTGATAATATCCTGACATGTCATATTCTTCCTTCTATAGTTTACGGACTCACCCCTACCCCTTTAAAATCTGATATTCCATTTTTTCTTTAAGCCTAGTGGACTTCTTAATTGATGCACAATGGTTATTGAGCCCTTATAATTTAGGATTGAAGACTATTTCATCTAGTCTGTTTTTCAGATAATCTTTTCACTACATGATTATATATTCATGAGCATGTTTTTCAGAGAACTGTGGAAGGAGAGATTGAAATTATAGAAGAATATATTCATGAGCATATATTTACCAAAATGTTTTAGACCTTGTTGGAGTTAAGGTTTCTGTAGCTGAGTGTTCAAATCAGATGGTACTTCTAATTTGTAAATCTCTAAGTTCATGGCATATGAATTCCATTGTCTGGGTATCAACTATGGTGGCTTTGATTGCTGCAAATATCATGTCCAGGCAACTAATTTTTTAAAAGGCTAATGAGAAAATCGTAGTTGTGAATCACAACAAGCCCAGGTGTAGGTATCAAGAGATGCCTTGATCTACAAAGGAAAAACTCAAGCTGTATCTCCTTTGCTAGCAGTAACTCAAAGCCCACCAGTATTTTGCCCACAACTTACTTAGCTAAGAAAAAGGGCATACTTTTATTAATAAAGTAAGCTACGTCGAGTCTCTCTACAAGTAAATTTGAAGTCCAATGGATAAAGTATAGTTTGCTTAGACGGGAGCAATATATATATTTACTGGTCTTGCCTTGTGTGATTCATAGATCATCAAATCTGCTTTAGTATATGAACTATAGAAACCTTATGGGGTGAATGGTTTGAGAATAGTTCATCATTATGTTTGAGGGAGTTGTCATTGAAGAATAGTTTTGAGTTGTATCGAATTCTTGTCTGAACATTTGGAGTTGTTGATATCTTATTCACAAGGAATAGTGAAGGATATTATTGATTAATAATCTGTAAATTTTTGTCCTTTATATATATATATATATAAGCATTTTATTACCAAAAAGAAGAATATACTGTAAGGCTCAATACATGAACTAAAAGAGCACACAAGGACACGATCGAGTAAGCCAACTACCCATACAAAGGCAATACATCCACGAAGTCTATAAAGAAAGCCACTCACAAGCCCGAGAGTCTAGGCAAAAAATTGAAGAAAAACACCCTTTCACAACGTGAGAGGGGTTGGTTCAAAAGAAACTTGTCATTTCAAGTGCAAAGAAAGAGCTCACCCTCATAACTCGAGAGGATAGATAACCACAAACAACCCACAAGATATTGGCTAAACTAGAACATTGGTGCTACAAGGCAACTAATGAGGTAATCATATTTTGATTCTTGTAATTTGGTAATTTTTCTTCCCTTTTTTTCCCCCACTCCCCCTACAAAAGAAAAGGGATATTTTCAATATGCAGGTTCAGCTTGAGATGAGCTCAAGCATACATGACAAAGCTAATTTGCATCCCATGCTCGGAGTGCCCAAATGCTTCCAGCATTGTTTGTTATGTCAATTACATTTAACAAAGGAATGTAAGTTTTCTAGAATTTTTTTTTGAAAACCCTCCCTTTTTAATCATCCAAAAGTAATAACTTGTAAATGTGATACTGATTTTTCTGTTCCCTGATTCAGATCATACATCAGAAGCCAAAGAAGACACTTGATGAAATAAGTCATGACCTGTGCTCAGTAAGTGGATAACTTCTAAAATTGTAAAAAAATCATTTATTAAAGCTAAACATCTTCCTTTCTTATGAACCGTGTCCAATTTTAATCATCCCCAAGGTGCTTAGTATACAGCAACTGTCGAATCGGCGTGATGTATTGGGATGACAAGTGTAGAACACATAGCCTTTCTTCCAATGTAAGTATATGTTGCTTCCTTTAGCTTGGGTAGGCTTTCAATCATTCTATTATCTAATAATTTTTAGTGTAACATTGCAAAATGTGCCTCTGTTTGGTGTTTCCAGAAGTGGATATGAGAAGTGGTTAAGGAGGCAACAATGTTGCCGCTGATATATATTTCTCAAACTATGGTCAAACAACTTTGTGTCAGTGTTTTTATCTGGATGAAAATAGCTTAACATTTTCTACCACTGCAATCATGCATACCTCTTCCAACAGCTGTTGTAGACTTTTTTTCCTTTCTTTTTTTCAATTTAGATGTTGATGGGTTGACCATGTTAGGAATTGATACACAAAAATAGGATTGGTTAGTGTTCAATACTTATTAAGATCCGTAATATCCAATAGACAAAAACCTTAAAGAATGTCTGACTAGGGTGACTTAATATATATTTAACCTTATTTTTGTTAGTGTTGTAAGAGATGTTCCTTTTTGTATCGTATTCCCTGCAATCTATTATATTTTTATTATTTAGTTGTGCAAGTAGTACTTCTGTTTATGCTTAACTAAAATAAATTTGTTTACTATAGCATTGTTTTCATTTTGGAAGTTGAATTTCTCTTATGGTAACCAAATTCCATGTCATTGGTTTGAAGAATTGCCTGAATTAGCAGCAGGTTCTCTATCAAAAACCCTAGTTTTTAGAAAAATGATTGGAGGAAAATACAATTCAAGAAAATCAAGACAAACCCGAAGAAAACATTCTTTCCCACAGTTCTTTTTGTAAAAATTATCATTAAAGTTTGATTAGGTTACTAGGTGGTTTTTATTAGAGAAAAATTATGATGTTCCAGCTTTGGGGTACTAAGCAGCACAACTCCATATATAACAAACACGGCTTGTAGAGAAGAACACGATGCAACCGGTTGTTGATCCAATTATCAAATGTGGTAATCGTTTATGCACATATTAATTTGGTGGCATTTACAGGAAATTGGAGTGGATTGTTATTCTAATAAATTATTTCAGCTTCAAACTATATTTCAGATAACAATATTGGCTCTTATGGAAGTAATTATACTATTCGAGGTGTTGACGCCCCAAAATCACCAAACGGAGTCGGTTTAGCACGAAACTTGGCACGCACGACCGCCTAGGCACGAGAGACTTGTGGGAGAAGACGGGACTCCAATCGGGTTCCTAGTTTGAGAGTTAGAGCCGGATTTCAGTCTAGGCAAACTAGTTCATTAAGAAACTTGAATTCGAGGTGTTGGCGTCCCAAAATCACCAAACGGGGTCGAATTAGCACGAAACTTGGCACACACGACCGCCTAGGCACGAAAGACTTGTGGGAGAAGACGGGACTCCAATCGGGTTCCCAGTTTGGGAGTTAGAGCCATATTTCACTATAGGCAAACTAGTTCCTTAAGAAACTTGAATTCGAGGTGTTGACGCCCCAAAAACACCAAACGGCGTCGGTTTAGCACAAAACGTGGCACACATGACCACCTAGGCATGAGAGACTTATGGGAGAAGACAGGACTCCAATCGGGTTCCCGGTTTGGGAGTTAAAGTCGGACTTTGGTCTAGGCAAACTAGTTCATTAAGAAACTTGAATTCGAGGTGTTGACGTCCCAAAATTACCAAACGGGGTCGGATAGCATGAAAATTGGCACACACGACCGCTTAGGCACGAGAGACTTGTGGGAGAAGACAAGACTCCAATCGGGTTCCCGGTTTGAGAGTTAGAGTCGGATTTCACTCTAGGCAAACTAGTTCATTAAGAAATTTGAATTGGAGGGGTTGATGCCCCAAAATCTCCAAACGGCGTCGGATTAGCACGAAACTTGGCACACACGACCGCCTAGGCACGAGAGACTTGTGGGAGAAGATGAGACTTATTTTTGGACAAGAACTAGAGTTTTTCAAGCCTGCAACCTTTTGTAGCCTGTCGGACCCTTCTATTGGCTGTCGGCCACTGCTTCTGGTTGTCAACCACTGATGCGGCCTACCGACCACAAGTGTGTTTTGCAGATATTTTTCTGCCAGTTGTGCCAGCTGTTGGCACAGATGCATGGACCTTCTTACACGTGTATGTATTGATATTTTTGAGGGATTTGCATGGTTTTCTATATATAGGAGGCCTCCCCTTCCATTTTCAAGGTTGCAATTTTTAGAGTAAAAATTCTCTCTTTCTCTCTCTCTCTCTCTCTTGCAATTTCTTAGCTTTTTGCAAGCTTTTGCCTATACACTCTAAACCAAACCTCACCATCTTTGAGCTGAGGTACTTTTGAGCGTAGTTTGAGCTCTTGAGGGTGTGTTTGCCTTGATTTGTTGTCTAGAATTGATTCTTCTCTTCAAGAGGTATACAACTTTGCTTCTCTTTTTGCTTTATTTATTATTTTTCCTACTGTTTTTTCTTTGTTTTTGGGTTGTATAAACTCTGTATTTTTGGGCTAAAACTTATGGTTTAAGGCCTCAAAAGGGTGGAGGGTTGGTTCACCCTTCTTTTCACTTTCTTCTTCTAGCATTTGCCCTTGTGTTTCCCATCTTTACACCATCTCTTTTTGAGCTTTTAAACAATGATTTTCAGAGCTTTTTAAGTGGCTAAAATGATGTTTTGAAGTCCCAAAAATGGAGGGGTTAGCCTCCCCTCCTTGTGTTTGTTTTGCTAGCCTAGTATGCTTTATGTTTTAGCTTAATTCCAGCATGTTTTAGGACTTTTCTTAACTGCTTGTTGCATTTGAGCTTTGTATTACATGCTTGTAGTGCAATTGTCCTCATAGGTTTGGTGGTTTAGGCCTTAGCCACCATCCTATTGGAGTTAATAGCATTTATTTCATGCGTTCCTTACTTGTGATCACTTTTAATTACCCCTGCAACCTTCCTCATTTCTTGGCTTTTGCTTTGCTTTGAGAGTTGTTTCAAACCTATTGTGACAACTCTGACCTCCAAACTAGTACATTATATAATTTAAATGAGTTTAGTTGCATGATTATGTGCTTAATTGTGTGATTACATGTTTAATTTTATAATTATCTGTTGATATATGGAATATCTGTTTAAATCGACAACTTAGAGTCGGCAATTGGGAGCCTAAACGGCTTCAGGAACCGGAATTGACTAGCCTAATAGGCTAATTAGAATATTTAGAATTTTATGGAAACTTTAATTGAAATTTGATTTGGGCCAAAATAGTTCGCATAAACTGATTGAATTAGTTAGAATTAAGCCTAAATAATTAATCCTAACCATATTTGATTAGGCTAACTTAACCACCTCTTATATAAGACCCAAATTAAGCTTATGAGCCCATTTTTATATACACACTCGGCTGAGAATTGAGAGAGAGGAAAGGAGAGTTCAGCATTTAGAGAGAGAAAGAGGAGAATTGTAGAGTATTAGAGGGAGATTCAAAGATTGGAGCCACAATACACTTGAATTCAATACCAAGTATGGCATTCATCACTAATTCATGTAGTTATGGCATATAGTAGTTGAATTCCTCTCATTTTTGAACTCATTGGCATGTTATTGAAGAAGAGAAGCTATGAATATCATAAAATGGAAGAATGGAGTTGAATTGCTTACATGCATGCATATTTTGAGTTAAGCTCCATGAAATTCATACATGCATGGCACAATTATACCTCATTTTGGAGAATCCTTCATGTTTTCATGCTTCTCATGTCACTTGATCATATTTTGAACATGTTTTGGAGAAATATACACTCAAATTGAGTTAAACTTATTTTATAAATTGAGGTTGGAGTCATTGGTTAGGAAATTACTATGATTTTGAATAAATGGGTTCAAATTGGAAGTGTTTTCATGTTATATAGTGACTCTCCATGTTTTTATACCAAAAACACAACATTTGAATCTTTGAGTACCATGTTTGAACTTCAAACACAGTTCTGGAAATTCCAGAATTCGTGCTGTCCGCTCGAGCGAGGGAGTCCACGCTCAAGCGTGGAATTCGGGCTCCCAGAAGTTTCTGAAATTTTGCAGTCTGCTCGAGCGACCAAAGTGGTGCTCTAGTGAGGACCCTTTTTCTCAGACTTCCGCTCAAGTGACCATCGAGTGGGAATTTCGTGTATCCAGTACTTTTACAGACCGCTCGAGCAACAGAAGTTACGCTCGAGCGACCACCTTTGTTTTCGTAACCCCGCTCGAGCGTAGGAAGTTGCGCTCAAGCGGAGACCCTGTTTTCAGCAAAATTTTACCAACTCTTTTAAGTGCATATTTGCATCCTCATGCCACTCCAAGCATTCTTAGGCACCAATTAACTCAAATAATCATGGAATGAGTAAGAAACACAAAAGAACAGTTGAATTAAAGTGAAATGGTTATTGAATGGTGCTTCAATTGAGTACTTGTTATGTGTTTTGTATAGGTGGACATCCGAGGCCAAGCATCGATAGAACCCATAGTGAGTAATAACTTTATAACGATATGTTCAAGTGATATTTACTTTCGAAATTGTTATTATTCTCAAAATCGATACATCAATGATTGAATAGTTTATCGAAATGTTATGATGATTGATGGAATGGTTTATTGAAATGCTACTTTCCTTAATGAATTAAGTTCCATTTGAAATTGTAATCGTGGCATCCTTTAGTGAGGCCCTTGCCTGGGGGATATAATACCATGGCCCATTTGTTTAAAGCTCCATGAAATTCATACATGCATGGCACAATTATACCTCATTTTGGAGAATCCTTCATGTTTTCATGCTTCTCATGTCACTTGATCACATTTTAAACATGTTTTGGAGAAATATACACTCAAATTGAGTTAAACTTATTTTATAAATTGAGGTTGGAGTCATTAGTTGGGAA